CCTGATCATCATTTTCTCTTCCACCTTTGTTCTGCAGGAGAGTAACAGGAATTTCGAACTCAACAAAATTTGTGGTTTTGAAATAGGCCACGAAATTCTTCTCAGACACAGTGTTGGTTTGCAGCCGCTCCTGTACAGTCAGACTGCACTCAAGGTACATTTGAATCCCTCAGTGCTAAGTCTTGTGTGGGAATTGGCAGCTGCTCCTTGCAGAGATCCAGCAAGGGATCGCATTCACACTCTGCAGCTGAGTTTTGCTCTTGGTGGCATCCACAGATGCTGTGAAGTTTAGTCCCTTGTTGCATCCAGTTGGAAGTGCTGGCACTCCCAGCCAGTCTGCCTCCACACACAGCAGTTCCAGCACTACAAATGACCAGCCTGGCCAACATTTCAGGAGCCATGCCTGACTGGGTTCAGCCTGCTGGGGCTCGCCACAGGGGTCTCTTACGCTCTGAGCTGAACTATCCTCCCCACTCCTGAGACGTTTTAAGAAACATGGTTCTCTTGCTTCCCTTGCTCTCTGTCACATTGGTGTTTGCTGACACTGCTGCTTTATGCATTGCTGAGGCACACACATGCTGGAATGGTTCGTGAAGCAGCTGGCAGTGCCTTAGAAAGGTCAGTTCTCAAACAAGGGCTGCATATCTTTCAGAAGCTTTCCATGCCACAAAAACAGGATTTAGGAAGGGGTTACTAACCAGTAGAACAGAGAAAAGGGGAAGGGTGAACCATTCTGGATCAAATGCCTGCCTTCTCCAGTTAGAATAAAACTATCAACTCCCATCTCAGCTGTGATAAAGCAGCTTGTTTTGTCCATCTCAACTGCCAAGACATCTATTTTCATACAGCTATCCCACAGGATATGCAGTTGGCACAGGGTGAAGGCCACAAGCCGTTTCAAAGCTCTCTTGTCTTAATGTGTATTTTTATTATTTCTTTATTCCATAAATACATTTGCACTGGATAACCTATCTAACCTAACTAGCACAGGTGATTGTCATTGCCTTTTTAGCAACCTCTTCTAGAACTGGGACTGATACTCAGGCATAAATTGGTGCAGCTGTGATGAACTGGGTTTCTGAGCATGGAAATGGCAGCCTTTTATGACTGCGTGGAATGCTGCCTTCCTCACAGGCTCAGAAAAACATGGATGAGCGTGACTAATGACAGCCCCAGTGCTTCCCACGCTGGCCTCCTAAATAACAAAGGTCCAATTCATAAAGCTAACTTAAAGTCATGGCACAAACTAACTTAATGCGACAATAATTCACAGCTAGTACCACAGTAATTCAATTACACCCTCTGCAGCTCCAGGAGAGAAAACTGAGTATTTCTCTTATTATAACAGACTTCATAAATTAGGACTGTTTTCAAGGTTATTCAAGGCTACTGTCTTCTCATAAAAGCAAGATCCAAATACAGTTTTCCATAGTGCTTCCAGTTTTAAAACGCCACTATGGCTTTAGGAAACTTCAAAAACAGACAAACATAATGAGCTCATGAAAAAATCACTGGAATAATCATCTTCATAGTGCAATGTTGCTCATTTTGGCATTAAAATCAGGCAATTTAGTTTTCTGTCATCAAATCTCCATTTGTTGTAGGTTTTGAAATTCAGAACCCTAAATGTATGATGCCTCTGAGAAAAACCCAACTGTCTCTATAGAGAGGATGCCTGAGGACCTCTGCTTTCAGTAAGACAGACTGAGACTCTGGAATAAACTCACTAGTTAGAAGCTTCTTATTGAAGGTCAGTCATGTTCAACTGTGTCGTCACTAACAGTTCTATCTTTGTCATTAAAAAGAGTGTTAAAAACCTCTCTGAGACAGTGCAATACTTGGTCCTCAAAGCACTGGATCAAGTTGTCTGGGTATCCAGTGGAAACATGTTGCCCCAATATCTATTTGCATTTTATCCATAATCCTCTGCTACTGTTTCTGATGGATCTTTCTAGACTGGTACCTCATCTAATGGGTCACAAGCCACCAAAGTGGTGACATAGGAACATTTGTTCCTTTGTTCCCCACTTACTTCTCTACCAGGATTAATGATACTTTGACAACCTTCCAAAAGACAGAAATTAATTACATACCTGCTATCAGTAATATCATTTATTATCCCTTCTCTCAAGGGAAAAGTTGTTAGACATTTGCCCCTCTCCAGAGAAACTTCTAACAGGGGATCAGCATGAGAAGGCTCAGAAGTGGGAGACCATGAGGGTGGATGGTCACTCATTCTTCAATGATGGTTATGGAAAATGTTAGTGATAAGAACCTAGTAACTATTGCTTGCACAGCAAGTGACTACAGTTGATTTAAGAAAGAAACAATAGAATAACACTGAAAATAATAATAATAAGAAGAAAAAGAAGCAGAAAAAGGAAGGTATTTTGGTTGAATTTTGTAGGTGTGTGACTTGAAATAGTGAAGGTTTTTGGATCTCTGCTCTGAACTGCCTACCCTATTTGTTATACTCATGCTACTTTTCCTCAGATGACTTTGAATAGGGAACTTGTATTTAAGACACCTACTAACTGCCTTACATTCACTGGCAGGATCAGTTTTGTCTTGCTTGACTACCAGTGCATTGCTCTTTTCCCTTACTTATTACTCTCCCACATACTGTCACTTGAAAAGAGACTTAAAGGATGAATCAAATATTAAAAACAATGGGTTTTTTCTCCCTTTTCTCTTAAGTTTCATGAAGTTAAAGCACAAGTAGGTGCCTATTAAATTTTCAGCCATTCCGTGGAGCTGCCTTGGAAATCACTGAGAAATAAATTTAAAAAACAACAGTTCTACCTGCTTACTACAGTCACCTTAGTGCATTTAATTTCATTTCATTCATCTGAAACATCTGATTCCCACAGAACCAGGCAGAAAAGTGAGCAAAATGCACTGTCATTCTTTGCCCTTCATTTATCTTCCCTTGTAAATATATCACTATGAGTTAAATCACAGTTCTTCCTCTCAGCTGAGTGGCTGGAAGGATCACCATTGTTTATTCCTGTTCATAGATGTTTCATCTGCACCCAAATTCATGCGCATGCCTCATGCTTCCACTCCTGAGTAGGAAAACTGACAGGTAATCTTGGCCAAAAGGAAATTTCAGCCTTGATCTTTTGGCAGCTTCATCAGGTCACTGTTCTTGTTCAGATGTTAGTGGAATGGAAAAATGTTCCATTTCCAAATATTATACTGGTTATCTATGAATGCACCTATGCACGATAACTCTAGGTTTAGACAGGGTCATAAACATCTCATTTATTAAAATGGGAATGCTGTTTACATACATTTGTCTCTTCTGTGCAAGTAAAGCAAAGAGAGAATTCCTAAGGAGGGCAGAGGAAGGAACTAGGTCAGACTTGAGTTTTTCTGTCTCTACTGTGTTTATCAGGCCCCGTCCATCCATGCCATAACTTCCGATTCAATGCAGAGAATGAGAAAGCTAATTTGACAATGTAGTCTCAAACACACCTTGATACGGCATGACAGATCAGCTCCTCCTCCACTGACTGCTCATCCAGCATCTAATTCCCACACCAAACCTTCTGCTGGCTTATATTAGGACTGAATTTTAAGTTTGCATATTTCATCTGCCTGTTTCAGGACTGAAACATTTCTAGGCTGGATAGGACAAGCTAAACATGTAGAACTGTTGCTGTGTGTTGTTCCCAATCTGTGGAAAATTCTGCGCAGACCTAAATATACTTAAAATGGAGAAATCAAATAATACCAATATGCCAAATCTGTTTTCTTGTTAAACAAGTGGCATTTACAATTCTGATGCTCTTTTCTGTGGCAAAGCAGAGGCTGAGTGCTACAGTTAAACCCTACAAGACATGATCACTTATGCAACTAAACATTATTTCATCTACAATTATTAGTGATGCTTAGTCACACGTTGCAGGAAGCTGGTTAGAAAAGGTTAATTCTGAGTTGTCATGGCAGTTAGGTGGGATTTAGACTCTAATATTCCTTTCAAAATGTCAGTGTCCACTCCTCTGAATTCATAAGAATGTGCATGGCTGGATCACAACAGACATACAGCTCACATGGGCCTTCCACTGAAGAGCTGCTTCCGTTGAAAAAACAAGCCTGGTCTGGGCAGCAATAACTTTCCAGAAGGCAGCAACTAAAGATTCTTTTAGACTCTTCTTTTCTTCATCTCTTAAGAAGCTTCTCTTCAGATGCTTTGGCCATTGATTATCCTGCGATCACAGCCTGATCAGGATCTGCAAACTGCACCTTCAGGTAAGACTTCATTTCCCCAAAGCTATTGGGTTCCACCAGCTTTGCCCAAGAAAATGAGTTCACAGGCCTCTGGTGTGTACTTACATGCAGGTCTCTGAATTATTTTTTTAAAAAATAATGAATGTAGATGAAATAATTTATTTTATGGAGTCTTCAACACTTCTAAGTTAACTTCAGTGGCTTTGCCTGAAATGTTTTAGGAAGCACATACAGTTCTCTCAGTGAGCAGAATTATAGGGGCACCAGCATCTTAATGGGAGCATTAACATTTTCAATCAGCTCTGGCCAGTGCTGGAGAGTAAGTAGTAAAGCTCACTTAGGAATAAACATATTCCCAAAGCAGAAAACAAGTGGTATTGTAATTTAAATCAGGAAGAAAAATATTAAGCATGTAGACTGCCTCGAGGTAAAGTCTCAGTGTTCTGTGTATGTGCACAATATTCCAAATAACAAAAACCAAGGAGTATTTTAGCCAGCTCACACTGATAGTTTTTCTGCTTTTCACTTCAATTTTCTTTCTTCACACAGAGAACATCAGAGTGACTGCTAATGTCAATGCTTAGCAGTCTGTAAAGTATGTTGCTATAAATAAGAAACTAACCCCACCTCCTGGGAATTCCAACTTTGCCTTTACCCTTTGCTTTCTTCAACACAGGCAGCCTAAACATATTCACTGCTAAAATAGTTTTCTTCATTTCCCTAACAGTTACACATTTTGTGTTACCAAAACAGCTGTTGACTAAGTCTTAACTGTTTGGCTTTGTTCTCCAAATACTGAATGTGTACTTGTCTACACCTTGAGGGTTGGAGGGAGGGGGCATATCCCTGTTTTACTTAAACCTATAACAAAATGACATCTTTGAGATCAGATATGGATTTTATCAGTTTGGTAAAAAGCAGGTGAGGTAGATATTTCAATACAGAGTACCTGTGTTCAAGTAAAACAGAACATGTTTTTCAGCTTTAAAAGGACATTTTACATTATAATGTTTATAAAGCTGATTTTACAGAGCTTTCATACCCACTAGCTCTGTCCAGAAGATGGAAGGATGTTGAACTCTTACATTCATCAGAAGCAAGTACAGACACTGTACTGACATTGTCAGAAAGCCAGTGTAAACACTGTTCAAGCTATGCATGAACATTTTCTAATATGCAAACAGACAATGTCAGTTCCCCCAAAAACTAATGACAGAAGAATGCAAAGCTCATACCCAGTTCTGACCCCTGCACTACGCAAATCCCTTAAGGAGTTAAGGAGCTATGTTTCCAAGAAAAGATGGAGCAGAAACTTGCAGCAGAAGTATTAAGGAAGGGCAAGGAGAGTCCACATCAAGTGGAATAAAGCATATCATGAGTGCAAAATCTGTGTGAAAATATTTAGAGTAGTTTAATTCCCTTTGGGGCTGTCACTTCCATGATGCTTCAAAAAGGGAAACACTGTAGTAGGCACAGCTCACCGACAGCTTACTGGAACAAGGCTTTAGATATACAGAGAGCTTCTTTTGTACTGCATGTTATTGATGTATTGTGCATTGTACTGAATTCTTAATTAGATGCATCCTGCCAATGCTGGCCAGGCACCTCATTAAAGAAAACACAAATAAAACCAGATAATCATTCTTAAGCTTGAAAAAGAAAAGTAATTGGGGATTTATTTTCTGCCACTCTGGAGTTTGCCTTCTGTTCCCTTACTGTGGTGTTGGCAAAGGATGTCAGTCAGGACTCTGAGTCTCCTTTTTCTCAGGTCTATGTAATTTACTCTGGTATCAGGTCAGGATATGGGTGCATAAATTAGCTGCATGCTTCTCATTTGGGAGCTTCGCAGAGGAGAAATGTTTGGGGTATGTGATTTGCATGTTTGCTATAGCCTCTTGATAAAAGCTTCCATAGTATTTACAGAAACAATTGCTGGATTCTTTGACTTTCAAGGGTCAGCAGGACTAGATCTTTCTGTTGAACAGAAAGGATAGTTTGCCACAATAGAGCAAAGAAATATATAAAAAGAAATATAACATTCCACCAAAATTAGTTGATGGATGTGCCAGCATATATGTATCAGTTTACTGCACTAATAGAATCTTTCTTGCTTCTCTGTAAAGGACTAGTAACACTTTAAATATCACATTCTCAGCAGTTGTAAGATGAGTAATTAATTGAAATTAATATAACTATGCTTTTAACATAACTATGCCGTATACAGAAAGATCTTTCTTGTGTGCAGATGTGTTTTATTTTAACATATAAACAGTTCTGTAAATTTAACTGAAGGGCTTTGGATTAACAAAATCTTTCATCCTAACTCTGAAAGCCATTATAGAGACATAAATCCTAATTCTTCAAAGAAAAGCTTTTCAGCATTAATTCTTAATAAGAGATCCTATACAGTAGTGATTCAGCATATGTTCTCAGACTCAGGATAAATCTGTTTTCATTCTTTCAAATTGTATTGTGGAGCTCAGAAGTTTGTAGAAGTTGCAAACAAAACAGGGAAGTGTAAGATGAGAACACAAAATCATAAACTGTGTCATATAAGTATTTTCCAAATATTGCTCATATCATGAGAGTAAAAAGCAATAGTTTCATTCAAAAGGTCAGCAATTTACCTTGCATAACTGTGTCTTCCTTTCATAGTATGCAATCATAGGTTTTGATGCTTGGTAATAACTTTCAATTCCTTCCTTGATGGTTTCGGCATTACCAGAGTGCTGGCTGCTCGAGTTCCTCATCAGAAGGTGACTGCTCATGGTTTCTGCAGAGCACTCCAGACAGAAGACAAGTTTTGGTTCCCCAATCTAGAGACAACAAAAAACACTAAGTATTCAAACCACTGGCCTGGTAAAACTGATTATGCGTGGATAACTTTGAGAAGAAATGTTACTGAAAGAGTCATCAAGGACTTTATTAGCATATTACTTTTGTCTATGCAGAAACTGCACTTCTAACAAACCCCTCTTCTTGTAGCAGCACTTAGAGATCTCAGGCTGTGGATCAAATGCTGTGCTTGATTGGGCTCTACACATACCAAGAAAAAAAGGTATGTCTGAAAAATTCTGGCTAGAGTTGGACTGAACATCATCAGTTAGTTCATTATTTGCAATTCTTTGATAAAAGCTTGATGCAACTAGCAGTGGACTCATGGACTGCTTGACACTCTTACTTTTTCAGCCTTTGCTTTGCTCAATCTGTAAAGAATATATTTTCATTCAGGGAGTGGTAAAATACAGCTTAGAATTTCAAGAGGCAATAGAATGAAACATCCAAATTAGAGTGTGCCCACTTGAAACGGAAATGAGCAGCAACAGACGGGCTCAGGGACACCATCAAATGCTGCTATTGGATGTGTTCACTTGATTACTTTATGTCTCACACTATGTTATGTCAATATTTGCACTGGAACTCTACATCATTACTACCCACGGCATAAAGGAAGGACGCGATATATTTCTCTGCCTTTTCAAATTGGTGAGTGATTTCCAAATTCTGTAGGAAGCCCACCAGTTAGTGCTTTTTGGCTAGTGACAACCTAGTTGTAAGGGAGAGTCTGCCATTTTCTGGAAACAAAATAAATGTGGATTTATTTACTTTTATTCCCAGGCCTTGGCAAAGATAGGAAGTAATTGTCTCTATCTACATTACATAGTAGGTATTGCAATACTTTATGGGTGAAAAAGAACTGGCAAGAGAGAACAAAATGTTCCTTATAATATTTTAGGAGAGACACATAATTTCTAAACAAATATTCCCATCATTCTTCCCCTGAGATGCTGAAAAATATGCCTATACTGCAAGCATAAACCTTGCAGGACACTCTACCATGCACCCCGCTCAAGCACAGCTCTCTCTGACACAAGGTTTTATTTGAGCAACAACTGTTGGGCTGAGTCCATCAAGTAAAACAAAGGTGTCACAGGATCAGAGAAAAGTGACCGTTTTTCCATGCAGTTGTGTATTAATCCTTCAGTGATGCTTTCAGGCTTTTTCTCATTCCTCCCCTTTCTAGCAGGAGAATGCCTCTTAGGAAAGAG